CTGCCCCCGCCACCGAAGGGAAACCGAGGAAGCACGCCGATATTATGCCCGATCTTCGCCGGTTTGACACTTCGCACACCGGATGAGGACCGCGACCTGCAGAGGTTCCTCGCGTCGGAACTCGCCGCCTTCGATAGCATATGCGGACCCACGCACAGAGTACAGCATACGATCCGACTGACCAATACTCGTTCTATCAAGCAACGGTACCGGCTACGGAATCCCGCCATGCAAAAGATTATCGACGACGAAGTCCGCCAGATGGAGGCCGACAGCATTATAGAACCGTATAACAGTGCCTGGAGTTCGCCGGTGGTAATTGTTAAGAAGCGCGACGGAATCCCGCGATTTTGCATAGATTTCCGTCAACTAAACGCGGTCACAGAACGCGATGCATACCCACTTCCGCATATCACCGCGACACTGGACAAACTACGAGGCGCACGGTACCTAACGACACTGGACCTAAAAAACGGCTACTGGCAAATCCCACTCGCACCAGAAAGCAAGCCAGTCACCACCTTCACGATGCTGGGACGGGGCTTGATGCAGTTTCGCGTCCTGCCCTTTGGGCTACACTGCGCACCGGCTACCTTCCAGCGACTCCTAGACCACGTCCTGGGCCCGGCTCTCGAACCACACGTATTTGTGTACCTCGACGATATCATCATCGTCAGCGCGACCTTCCAGGAGCACCTTGAACATCTCGCGGAAGTATTCCGCCGTCTCCGCGCCGCGAACCTGTGCATCAACCCCGGGATTCTGCGTCGGAAGCTTACGGTACCTGGGACATATCGTCGACTGCGAGGGACTCCGGACCGACCCCGACAAAGTCAGCGCGATTACCAATTGGCCGCCGCCCACCACCCTACGTCAGGTACGGCAATTCCTGGGTCTCGCCTCCTGGTACCGGCGCTTCGTGGCAGATTTTTCTCAGCGAGTAGCTCCGCTTACCCGCCTCACAAAAAAGGGGGTTAAATGGGCATGGACCGAAATCGAAGAGCATGCCCCTTCTGGGACATCAAGGAGGCACTCGTGACGGCACCAGTATTGGCTTGCCCAGATTTTTCGCGCCGCTTTGTCGTGCAGACTGACGCCAGTAACCACGGCCTAGGGGTGGTGCTGACCCAGCATTTCGCCGAAGGGGAGCGTGTCATTGCGTACGGCAGCCGCACTCTATCTAACGCCGAAAAGAATTATAGTGCGACCGAGCTCGAGTGCCTGGCCGTGGTCTGGGGCATCCGACGCATACGAGGTTATCTCGAAGGATACCGGTTTACGGTCAACATCGACCACCAGTCTCTGCGCTGGCTCCATCGGCTCGAATCTCCGACCGGCCGATTGGCGCGCTGGTTATTTAAACTTCAATAATTCGACTGCGAGGTCCGATACCGTAAAGGCGCCGCCAACAAGGTCGCCGACGCGCTTTCCCGCCGATCTGCCGTGTGCGCACTAAAGGACGACCAGTGCGCCAGGTACGGGAAATTGTTGAGAAATGTGCGCACCGACCCGGCTGCCTGGCCGGACTGTGATGGCGACGGGGCCGCGTATACCGCCACCTCCTCCATGACCTCGACTTCCGAGAAGTACCCTCGGACGAGCAATGGGAGGAGTGTGTACCACGTCCCCAGCGAGACAAAATCCTCCAACAACTACACGATGACCCCACCGCGGGCCACCTGGGGATAGCCAAAACGATTAGTCGCGTGGCGAAACGATACTATTGGCCGGGGATGTTCCGAGACATAGCCCGCTATGTCCGCGCGTGTCCCAACTGCCTCGCGCACAAGGCCGTTCAACGCCGGGCTCATGCGAGCTACAGCCGTCAAGGCCCCCTGGGCACAAGTGGCAATCGACCTTGTCGGACCCCTACCAAGGTCCTCCAGCGGCCATGCATGGCTCCTCACCATGCAGGATCGCTTCACGAAGTTCAACGAATCATCTACCGTCATGGTTGTCCAGAGGTCGTCATCTCCGACAACGGGCGACAATTACTATCAAGGCAGCTATCCACCTTGCTGCAGGCATTTGGGATACGACATCGTACCACACCGGTGTACACGCCTCAATGCAACCCGGTCGAATGCGCCAACCGGACGATTAAAACCATGATCGCCCAATATACCGGGCGGAACCAGCGCAGGTGGGACGAGGCGGTTCCGGCTATCCAGTTCGCGCTCAACACGGCCATGCAAGAGTCAACCGGGTACACGCCCGCATATTTAAATTACGGGCGAGAACTACGCACACCGCACGACAACCAGCGACCGGGCGCCGCACCACCACCACCCGAAGTAAACCGGAAAAACCTCAAGGAAGCCTTCGAGCTAGTCCGCGTAAACCTCGCCCAGGCATACCAGAAACAGGAACGGTTTTATAACTTGCGCCGACGATCGTAGAGACCGCGAATCGGGGAACAAGTATGGAAACGCGAACACACGCTCTCGAACAAAGCTCGCGCGGTAAACGCAAAGTTATCACCACGCTACAGCGGCCCATATACAATATGCCGAATTATATCACCGGTAATTGTCGACCTTAGGAATCGTCGAGGTCGTATCATCCCGAATATACACAGCCAGGACCTAAAGATGGTAAACAACCAGACACTAGAGGATACCGAATCCGAGGGGGAAGAGGAGCCCTAGCCACCGGATATAAAAGCCGCTCTCTCACGTGTCTCGGGGCACTTTACGAACGACCATGGCCGATCGCAAAGAGCAGCAAGCGCGCCAGCTATGGAGCGATCTATGTTTGTCCGAGGAGGACGAACCACCGTAACCGCCACGACCGAGCAAGCCATCGGTCCCAGCCGTCGGAACCGGGATCTAGCGCTACGACGCCGCCAATCGGAGGAAGACAGCCTGGCTGACGCAGCCAATTCCGCCGATGTCAAAGCAGCGAACACCGGCTGCAAGGAACCGGCCTTCCCCGGCACCTTCCACCAAGCCGATCACGGAGCAGCCGATTCCGCTACCGGGACCAAGCCGCACACCACCACCACTGCAACTCACAGGCCCGCAACCACCACAACACATACAGGTGGAGTATGCACCCGGACGAACGGCGGCCATTCCGTTCTTCGCGGTGAATGTCGCCCGGCGGTACCGCCTTAACATCGGCAACGAAAGATGGATGCTCCGATTTACGCGACAGGGGACCCTACGGCGCAGCCAACGTTCGGCGGCGAAGACTCGGGGCGAGTCTGTTAGGGGAGGGGGGTGATGCGACGATGCATTCCCCCGGCAAACACTGCGACCGACCGACCATCCGTCGGTTGCAGAAACGGCGCTATGCGCCAACAAAATGAAGCCACGCACTAAGCACGCAACCGATACGCGCACACGTCAACAACAACGTTTGTTATTGTTGTTAAGCACGTTTTCGTGGTATAAAAGACCGCTCCGCCGTGATTTCGGGACCAGACTTCGTCGGAGTCAGCCGAGATCGCAAGATCAGAAGCTGCTCCGGATCCCATCCCCAGGTCGAGGGACCGCGACGGTGCGTACGCCGTTGCTGCTGTGAGTTCGCAGCCGACTCGACAATCCTTCCATTCGGATAGTTCAAGGTCGTGCGTACGCGGTTTCTCCCGTGGAAGTCGCGGGCACCGGATTCAACAACATCCATTTCGGGACGCTGTGTTCGCCGTCTCCACCGGGAACTCCCGGCCCTCTTGCCCGCGGCAGACCTGGGGATCGGCACGAGTTGGAGTGGTGTGTTCGCCGCCTCTGTGGAGTGTTCTCCATCTCGGCCCCTCCACTCTAGTCGTTGGGCTCTGCGTCTCCGGGGCATGCGAACGCCCCGGAATATCGTTCCGCGTACCGCGCCGCGTACTTAGAGACCACGCGTGTCTCTCCGCCGCACCTCACCGGAGGTACCACGACCGCGCCGCGAATCGCGAACCGACCGCCGCCGGCTGCACGTCGGCTAGGCTCGCCCGGCCGACTCCACCGCTTCTGTAAGGAGACACGATACCGCGTGTCCTCCGCTCCGGGAGTCGACCGACGCGGGCACTCCGCGTGCAGCAACCACCGAGAACCGTGTACCGAGAACCGCGTACCAAGAACCGCGTACCGCGACGCCGAGTCAAGCAGATGCATTCCGCCTTTGCACTCCGATGCGAGACCGTCGGATTTAAACACCGCGAACGTCCCGTTCTCTGCTGACGCCGCGGAATCCTTGCAGTGAGCAACACAGCTGCTCTATATCCGTTCCGGTAACACCGATCCGCCGAAAGACCGAGCGAACCGTCAATACTAGACCGAGCGATAAACACGGGATTCCGTCACCGGCACTGTCACTGCAATATTTACCGGCGTTAAAAGGCGAACAGAAAGTACGGCTCGTCACCATTATACTTGTACCAGAACATCATGGCACATAC